TCATCCGCCCCTACACACCTGCCCGGCGCCTGAGGTCTGCGGACCAAACATTATTAGAAGTCCCTAGAACAAAACGGAGGCTCAGAGGGAATCGAGCCTTTTCCGTTGCTGGTCCCTCTCTCTGGAATGACCTCCCACTGACCTAACCCTAGGTGCCCATCTTTAAAAGTCACCTCAAAACTCACTTGTATTCTTTGGCATTTGACTCAGCATGACTCAGATTTGATCTTAGTTTTACTGTTTGGTGCTATCTACCATCTTTGTTACTGATTTATTGCTTTACTGTTGTATATGTTAGTTGCTCCATGTACAGCACTTTGTATGCAGCAGCGATTGCTGTTTGAAAGTGCTCGAGAAATACAGTTGAGTTGAGTTCATATTTCACCTCTGCTACCTTTTTCATGTTTTTTTTAATGTTTTATTCTTACAGGACAGTGGACCACATCGTTTACCGCAAGACTTGTTCTCAATTTCAAGCAGTCAGCTATCCCCTTCAACCTCACCTAACAATCTAGGAGATCCAAGGACACCATGGCATGCATCCATTTGTAGGATCAAGGTTGTTGATGATCTTTTGTCTGTGTTTATGGACAGCAGCATAATGGAATTCAATTTAAAGATTAAGTTTGTCAATGAGAAAGCTATTGATGATGCTGGTGTGTCAAGGGAGGGCTACAGTGCATTCTGGGAACAATTTCTTGAACAGTGTGAAGGGGAAACAGAGCGGGTTCCAAGGCTAAGGCCAGATTTCTGTGAGGCTGAATGGCAAGCGGTTGGGCGGATCTGGGCGAAAGGATTATTAGACCATGGTGTCATGCCAGTGAGGCTATCAAAGGCTTTCGTGTTAGCCTGCATCCATGGCATTGACTCAGTTGATCGAGACATCCTAATTTCATCATTCCTTAACTACCTTCCTCCCATTGAGAGGTCAGCAGTTGAGAAGGGCCTCCAGGGCACAATGGAGGAAAGTGATGAAGAGGACTTGCTTGACGTATTTACAAGGATGGGTTCCCACTTCCTCCCGCCAAAGAATATTTTACAGCCTTCCATTGAAACAATGGCTCATAAAGCCCTTCTACAAGAGCCCAAATATATTCTTGATTCTTTCGCCACAATATTGCGACTTGTGCATTACAAATTACCGGACAAGGAAAGTGTGTTGTCCTTGTATGATTCAAAGAAG